TGAGTTGACAAACTTTGTAAAAACAGCCCCATCGGGGATCTCTGCAGTGTCTCGTGAAGCCTTTGACCTGATCCAGGAGAGCCTGGGCCTTCTCCACAGGCAGGAGGCGGAGCCCAGCTGTGGCCCTGAGGACCAGCGGGGTTCTCTTCCAGTCCAGGCGAGGAACCGCCTTTTTGGCCACCTTTAGCAGCCTCCTCACCGTCTCCCCGGCCTGTAAGAACCCAAACCCTGATCAGAATGACAACATCCCAAATGCAATTTCATCTGCTTGAATCTCCACCGGTTTGTCAGTTCGATTTTCTCTCCTTTTATTTGTTTTCATCAGTAATGTGACGCCCGCAGCGTGCGGCTATCGGCGGCACTTCTGGCCACAATGCAGCGCAGGCGGACCTCTCGCCTCGGCTCAATAAAATTGATTATGTTTGACGATGAACTCACCGTTTCAGGGGAGTCAGCATATGCTGACAGCCCGGGCTTTGTGGAATGGAACATCTCATTGTCCAAAACAGGCAGCTTCTCTGAAAGGTACAGCACCCACCCACGTCAAACAGGAAGCCACCATGAAAAGCATTCCAATGTGTAAATCTGCTTGGCGCGCGCGCGCGCGCACGCGCACACACACACACACACACACACACACACACACACACACACACACACACACACACACACACACACACACACACACACACACACACACACACACACACACACACACACACACACACACACACACACACACACACACACACACACACACACACACAAGTATGGTTCATTTGACAAAGGAAGTCAAGCGTAACCTGTGACCTCTAAAATGAAAATTTACAGATTTGATACCAAACGGAAAATAAGAACAACTACTTGTCAATATGCGGGATCCGACACTAAATAAGACAAAAGTAACTTAACATATATTTTGTTGCGTTTAACTCCTCATATTAAAAAAAGCATAAATCCAAAGAAGTCAATTCAAATGAACATTTAGTATGAAAATATATGAGGATTCATTGTATAAACTGCATAAAGTTACCTCGCCAAGTATAAATGCAGTGCTTTTAAACAGAACATTTAGCGGCCATTGTTGCTGACAAGTTGCCTATCAAAATAAAAGCATGGTTATGAGATTCCCTATTCAACATCTCAGTTCCTCTGTGAAAGGGCAGTCTACTATAAACCATGGGTTTCATTTAGAGAGTGTACATTCAATTCAATTCAAGTTTATTTATATAGCGCCAAATCACGACAAGAGTCGTCTCAAGGCACTTCACATAATAAACATTCCAATTCAGGTCAGTTCATTAAGCCAATCAGAAATAATGTTTCCTATATAAAGAACCCAGCAAATTGCATCAAGTCACTGACTAGTGTCAGTGACTTTACAGCAATCCTCATACTAAGCAAGCATATAGCGACAGTGGAGAGGAAAACTCCCTTTTAACAGGAAGAAACCTCCAGAGAATCCCGGCTCCGTATAAGCAGCCATCCTCCACGACTCACTGGGGATCGAGAAGACAGAGCAGACACACACACACACACACACACACACACACACACACACACACACACACACACACACACACACACACACTCAGCTCCTTTAAGACACAGGTCAAGCGCTGGTTATGGACGAGTCACCATTGTCCCCATCTGTAGGGGCGGTATAATTTCAATGTTTTTAAATCTCTTTTAGCAACACAGAATTGTATGTGTGTGTGAGTGTGAGTGTGTTAAATGCGCTGACCAATGAACTCTTAAGTGAAATTACTGTTTTAATGTACATGTATTTTTTCTTATGTAATTGTTTTCTTGGGCCCATGTGTGAACTGGCCCTTTGGGACTGCAGAAGGAGATTAGCCCTCGGCTATAATCTGGTGTGTTTACATTCATGTTTTTTTTATTCATGTATGTTCATTAACATGCACTGTCCCAACCAAATAAAAAAATAAAAAAATTACAATTAAAGATTCAATTATATGTATTTAGGTACGAATCTAAATATTACATTGTTTTAAAATCACATTGAATAACTGCATTTACCACTATATTTGGTTTATTGGACTTTGCATATTTACAATAGATTCTAAATTTGTTTCATTTGAGATAAAACTATATTTGATTATAATATTGTAATACTGTAGTAATAATAATTCAATTTGATTTTAAATTTTTAGGTTTAACTTAGAATAAAACCATAATATTTAGATTTATTTTAAGATATTTAAACATATTACAAAGATTTATTATTGATTTTTAGATATTTAGATTTAATTCATATATTCACAGTTCATATTACATTCTATATTCATATTTGATTTTAAAAAATCTATTTGGCCTTAAATATTTACAGTAGTTTCTAAATATTTAGATAAAATTTTACATATTTACATAAGATATGAATATTATAATAGCATAACTGAATTAGATTTTTAAGTTTAAATTAAATATCTGAAATATTTAGATTTTATAGATATTTATATTTGACATAATTTGTCTTTGGTTTTAGATATTTACATTTAACTTTATATATATATTTAAACTATTTAAAAATATTTATGTTTAAAATTATAATGAGAGGCTAACTGATTAAATATAGAGATCGACTTTGCAGTGTGTTTTTAGAAATGGTGCTCCCTATTTAAAGGTTACTTAGTAAATTAAATGTCAGCTTTTTTTTACTCGTCTATTAAACACATTTTATCAACGTGTTTTGAAACAATAAAGACAAAGAGGAAGCTCTGAACTCCGCTAGTCTTACCTGAGCCATTCTGGATGAAGGTATAGACATGAATTCGCGTCCCTGTGCTCCCAGCATCAAACATCACGGCGTAGAAGATACGGCTGTGGTTGGCTGGCCGGCTGAGACTGGGCAGGATCCTGGGTAGATCTAGATGAGAGCTCCTGACTTGGGCTCGGCTCGGTCCTGAAACGGCGAGCAGGACCAGGAGGAGAAGCAGGACGGTTGGCTTCATCTTCCCTCTGAAGTATCAGAAAACAAACAGAAGCTGCTCTTGTTAAACACCTGTAACGAGTTCTGAACCGCTGATAGGTAAATTACAACGTGGGACGCAACACGAGTGTCTGGCCACACCCAAACACAGGGACATGTTTTGCAAAAGCACCTTTTTACATAGGAAGTTTACACATAATTTCTCTACAAAATGAAAATTCATAAAATTAAAAAAAAAAAAGTGAAAGACTTCAGAAATCACACCACTTGCAAATTCCAGATAAATTTTAAGATTTTGAGCGTTTCATAGAGTCAGAAACAAAGTTGGACAGAGATGTAAAAACTGTATGTAGCTCTGGAGGGACTTTCAATCTATCTCTGCATTTCTTTGTTCCCCTTTCAAAAGCAAAGCAGCATCTATAAAGTAAAGCGGCAGCCGCAGATAACTGCTCAGACACCATTAAATGCTGCTGATTCCAAAATGAAACGTAGCATCACTTTTTTGAGGGAAACATCAATGCTGATATCAGTCTGAGAAGATTTTCAGAGGCCAATTTCTGTAATCACAGCTTTTTTCTGATAATACATTAAGATGTTTTAAATAAAACTAAATTAGACGTGATTAACAACAAATGAAGAAATTCTCAGGATACCATGAGCTCATCATCAACATTAATGTCTCAATGAAATACAGAATACAAATAGATCCATTCCAAATGTTCATGATGAAAAATAAGTTTTAAAGAATTACAAAGCATCTTATATATATATATATATATATATATATATATATATATATATATATATTAGGAATGTAAGAAAATATCGATATAGCAATATATCGCGATATTTTTTCCTGCGATATTATATCGATGTTAAAAAGCTGTGTATCGATTTTTTTGGAAGAATTTACGTGCAAACATTTGTGTATTTTCTTTTCTTTTGGTGCAAATCAAATGCCGTCCGCTAGTCAGCAGTAGGGTGCAATGGAGTTTATTTCCACCACTGAAATGTAAATCCCTCTATTATGGTTCAGATACCTCATGTTAATCATTTTAAGTATCAGTTTGGACCATTTATTGAATTTTCCTACAATAATTTTAGTCTAAAAAATCGCTATAATTGTCCAACTGAATGTATCGCAATATATCGTGATACATCGTATCGTCTCCCCTGTATTGTGATAAGTATCGTATCGCCAGAATTTCACCAATACACATCCCTAATATATATATATATATATATATATATATATATATATATATATATATATATAAATAATTTAATCAACGGGAAAACGAATGTTTACAAACATTTAAGCACTACACAGTAAAATAATATAAATATAATCATCTAATTGTTATTCTATGATACAAATCAAAGTTGTTGTTTTTTTTGGTACCTACTAAATCTTAAATTAACGATTTAAAACGAAAGCATGATTTCAAATGTAGCTGTCTAATTAGACAAACTTAATTTCATGTGAGAAATAAAATCAGAACACCTTATATAAATTACTTCTCGTACATGAATTAAAGCGAGACTCACTATTGCTAAAATACTCGAGTAAAGGTAAAAGTATGTAAATAAAATTGGACCATGTTATCTTCTAACAAAACGCAAACTGGGTCAGCACAGTTTGGTCCAGCTCAGTTGCCGTACTGGTTTCAGCTTCGTTTCCCCAACTTCAGCTAGCTGCTATTTTGAGAGGACGTTTCTTTTCACTGTTTGTTAGTCAGTTATGTTTCAAATAAAAAACACTGACGGTGAAAGTTCTCGGTATAAACATTACAACGCTGTTTGTTATTTAGCAGGTTTGCCGTCACGAGTAGCGTAAACACAAATTAGCATGTCTGCTAAACCCATCGGGCTACATGTATGTACAGTCTATGGGCTACACCAAGCGAAGAAGCTTGACAAGCTAACTTAGCATTAGCAACTACACGGGGGTTTATGAAATGTTCAAACTCAGACCAAAAGCCTTTAATATAATAATAAAAGTACACCTTAATGAATCAGCAAATAGCTCAACATCTGACTGTTTTGAGCTTAAAGAGCCTCACCATGATGTCCGACCGGCTCCAGCTGGTATGGCAGACGGTTGTTTCACATAATTACACCACTCATTAACTTAGTTATTAATAAATTACGTTTAAAGAAAATTTTACTATTTGTCAAAATTAAACTCTTACATGTCAGATCAGAATTGAAAATATTAAGTGCCTCTTTCCTACAGGTAAAAATATTATTTCAGCTACTAAAGTTGAGGCAATAAAACGTTTGAAGTTTAACATTTATCTACATAATCTATATATAAATCTTCTTGTTGAAAAAGAATATGTCATGTATTCATAAAGCTCTTCCTGTCTGCATTTAACATTTCATTCCTTTTCTAATCAAGTGTTTCAGCTCTAAATATCTACAAATGTTATTTTTCTATGAAAGAGACATTGAGGATATCATAACTAGAATTTTAAGAAACTCAAATTTCAGGTAGAATGAGTTTTCTCAGAATCATGTGTAGAATATTAGTTGATAATATCATTACATTGTTGTGATAAATCTAAATAGATAAAAATAAAAACCTTGGGATAATTTTTTTAGGATGCTCAAAAATGACATTAGGCAGATTAGCAACATTTTCATTTTTAAGCGTAGGCATTGGTGTACAGACATTAAGGTTCAGCCCACACAAACTTGAGTTTTAATCAAAACTTCAAGAATTTAATAATTCGTTTTCTTGTGGCTGATGGTGAGAGAAGGAAAAGGGCAAGTTTTGAAGTTTGTACAACACTGCTGTTTTTAATTTAATCTCAGATATTTGATCACAAATGATAAATATGTTTTACATTTCTGGTTCATGATATTTAAAAGAATATAACTGAAAGTAACTAGTGATGCAGATAAGAAATTCCACTCAGATTTGCTGTACAATCGCACCATGAGACACACAACCCCTGATTCTGCTCGAGCATGGCATTCAAGGCTTTAAGTGGTTGTGTGTTTATCCAACTGCATCCACAAATGCTTTGGTTTATTAGCTATTAATAACACTGACAGGAAAAATGAGCAGAGGCGTTTCAGACTGTGCAAATATGAGTTCCTCGTGTAATGACAGGCTAAGATGATGCAAATTAGCCACCGCAGTAATTAGTCTAAAAATATGCTGACGTCAAAGTGAAGCTGAATTTTGTTTCCCACATCGTAGTTCCTTTCTTTAATGTGTGTCTGAAACAATTTAAATAAAGACTACATTTTAAAAGTTTTTTTTGTAGTGATCTTATCCTTTTTCCACGACTTCAGCTGTCACCACACCCCAACTAATAAAACTAAAACACAAAATGTCTTCTAAATGATGCTCCTGAAAAAAGTCATTCCCACTCTTTTTTTAATTATAACAAATCTATTTCTTTTAAATATAAAATAACACCAAACTATGATTTAAATGCAGTTTTAACAAAAACGGAATCTCCCCGCCCGGTGTAAACGCCACACTGTATGTGTATTTGCGTGCCGTGGCTCCATTGGTGGTTAACGTAGCTGTGCCATTGCCGTAAGGGTTTCTGTTGGCCTCGTCTAAGGTGTCCACCTCCAGGACGACGAGCACAGGCCCAAAGATCTCCTCCTTGTAGCACTTTATGTCCGACTGAGAAAACAGAAAAAATCTACCACTTTCCTCCTCGTCGTAACAAGGGCACGTGCTACTAGTGCGTGCATTTGTCAGAGAATAGGAAAACATAATTTACACGCATGTTGTAACTCTTCCAACAAGGTTCAGTTTAAAGATGTCAGACACTCTCATCTAGAAAGCTGTCGGAGTGGAGGATGTCGCTGGGAGGGTTAGGTGTCTTTATTAGCCGGCTTTACGGAGCAGTTTAGACGGGTTATTTAGAATAGGTTTCTGTGTAAATTTATCCCTCCTATTGTTTACTATTAACACACACACACACACACACACACACACACACACACACACACACACACACACACACACACACACACACACACACACACACACACACACACACACACACACAGTGTAACCCCGAGAGAACAGGGACTCACACACTCACCTGCATGCTGCCCACGGATAACACTGAGAGCACCATCTGGTGCCCCAGCATCCTGGAGCAGTCGAGCCAAAAGCACGGTGCGGCCTGGGACACGCTCAGAGGGCTTCATCAGGTCCGTGTTTCCACACACCATCCCGATGGGGAACATCCACAGGGGATCATTGCAGGGCGGTTAAAAGGGGCGATGCCGGCGCAGACTCCAAGGGGCAGACGGTAGGTGCAAGTGTCCATGTCCTTGGTGATGGAGGGTAAGGTTTCCCCGAGCATCAAGGATGTGATACTGCAGGCGTGCTCGACCACCTCTGAGGGAGCAAGAGGAAGAAAAATGATCCCGGTGATCGATAAAAAGCGAAGAGATAGAAAGATGAAATTAGCTGTGGAGTTTTACCATTCGTCCCAACGCTGAACGCATCCAAAACCTGATCCTTTGGGTCAATTTGACCCGTATCGTCTGTGGGCTGAACTGGTTGTTTTTCACAAGTAGATAACTTAATATATAATAAATCAAATGTCATCTGGGTCAAACAACAGTTCACTTTGAGGGTTTATTGACATGCAACCAACACCAGCTCAAACAAAAACCAGACGCCTTCCACTAACGGGACTACATCTGCATAATCATGCGTGTAGAGATTAACCTGCCACCCTGTGCCCATTTGTGTTCATTAGACATCATTAAGAAGGCTCAGAGCTGCTCACAAAGCTCTGATATTAGATGGTGTAAACCAGGGATAAAAACAAGAAATTACATTAGAGGGATTACCAGCAGACCAATGAGCTGCGAGTGTGTCCACTCACAAATCTGAGGATAATTGAAAAAAGCACACAGAGGAAAAAGTATTTAAGAATTCTGAATGTTTTCTCAGATTTCTGACTTTATTATCAGAATCCTGACTTTCGCTCTCAGAATTCTGCTTATGTTTCTCAGAAATCTGATGTTGTCCTCAGAAATCAGACTTTAATTTAGGAATTCTGAACAATTTTCTCAGAATTCCGACTTTTTCAGAAATCCGTCTTTCTCTCAGAATTCTGCCTTTTTCTCTGAGTTCTGACTTTAATCTCAGAATTCTGATGAGCAGGGTCGGGAAACACCGATTTAAAGCTTCATATTTATATGTGATGAGAGATTTTTTAATATTATAATTACCCATCAAAGTTTAGCTTTAGGCTGAGAATTTGACCAACACTCCATCAGAATGGACGCTTAGAGGATATAAAACACGACAGGCTGAGTGGGCTGAATGTTTTCTTTTCACTTTACAAATTAAACTGTTATAAAACTAGCAACGAGACTCATTTCCCCACAGAAATGTTCACAAATTACACGTTATGAAACCACAATTTTTTTAGCCGGATAATGAGCGTGTGTTGTAAACAATGGAGGTCATTAATGAATACTCACAGGGTTGTGAACATCCAGCCATTCAGAGGAGCTGGACTCAACAAACTTGCCATCAATAAATAAGTTGGTGGTGGGCTGGAAAATCAAAGAAACAAATGATTACAATTACCTCCTTGTCCAGCTGTGTGATGACGATGTTCACCGACATCGATTAATTACATCTGCCCAGACTTTGGGAACTTTTTAAACCACTTTCCTTTAAATGCAACAAGTTCTGTTTGCTCTTTTAAAATACTTCCTGTCTCATTTACGAGTAATTTCCCACAATTTGTGCTACGTTCATTTGTGTTTTATTTGAGGTCCAAGTAGGGATGCACTGATACCGATACTGGTATCGGTTTCGGTGCAGATACCGATAAAATGCTGGTATCGGTATCGGTAAAAGTTAACCGATACCAGGAACCGATACCATTGCAGTTGCTTGAAAATGGCTTCACTGTAACTTGTCATTTCTGCTCACCTAATATTTTAGTTTTGTGATTATTTGTATTCATATATTTTACTTTTTATCTACCTCACAGTCTTTTCCTGTTGAAAGCAGAGAAGAAAATAAAATCTGTATTCCAAATCATTGCATTTTTTGTGTGGTAAAAGTATAGGTATCGGCGAGTATTCAGATCCAAGTACCGGTATCGTATCGGTTTGGAAAATGAGGTATCGTTGCATCCCTAGGTCCAAGCCCTCATTAATCTGTCAGTTTTGACATGTACTCTTCAGGATTATCAGCAATAATGGCATGATTTACTGTGCATTAAGAGGAGCTCTAAAAGGTTTTGAACACCTCATATCTAAAAGAGAAGAAGGGAATGAAATCTGGTAGTCACAATTCACGTTTTAATGAGTAATTTGTGTGACAGCAAACCTACACAGCAGTCTGCATCTCTTTTCTCCTATTCTGAGATGATTGCAAGTGTAAATTGTATGACTTTTTTTTTCCAGGAACATCTGTGATATCCTTCAATCTCTTGAAAAAGATGTCAGAATTTTTTCCTGCTTGAATTTAGAATCTGGGGAGTTTAGAAAACAAACCATGTAACAAAGCAATTTCACTAAACACAATTCTGACTGGCGTTAAAAAATTGCGGAGGCATGGTTGTTGATATTTATTTAATGAAAGCAAACTACAAACAAAACATTAACTACTGCCAATACAGTCTTATTTTCTAGCTCTGACCATGTCCTATACGTTTGCTATTGCAGTGCCTACTGTATACAATGTATAGTGTCTCCGTGAAAGATTATCATATAATACTGTATTTCTATATTTTATTTAGAATAACAAAAATACAATATTATATGATTGTATGTTTATGTTTCCTTTTAGAGACGTTTAAAGTTTCCATGAAAAAAAGACATTTTCAATTGATACCAAGTTTTAGAGCAGAATTATAGTTTCTTTATAACAAACATAAGTGGAATTTGAACATTCTAACAGTCATTCTTACAGCTGAAGAGAAAAACATGCCACCCAGATGAACAGGGACCTAAAAACAACATCAACACAGAAAACAAGTTATTCGTTTAAAAAACAACAACATGATGTCTAACAAACAGGAGTCTTGTGGTCTGAACGCTTAAAAGTGTCCAGGGTGGGAGATTGTTATGTTAGCAAACCGCTAGTCTGTTTTGCTAATGAAACTCGCACTCCAGAAAACAACTGAGTGTTACCTTCACGTTTAAACGTGGACGGAGCATAAAAGCAGCCATGTTGGTCACTCATTATTTGTTTGAACCAAGCCCCCACGATGCGGCTCAAAAATTGGTCTCAACCTGGAAGTACCAAAAATTGCAGTTCCACCCTCATCCACTAGGGGCTGGTGTCAGAAGCGAGCAAATCCTCATTGACTCCTATGTTAAAAATACCAATTTCACAGCAGAAATAAACATGTTTACAGCCTGGTACCAAAACATGTTTTTGGTTTAAATGATCTAGTTTACACTCATGACAACTCTGAGGGGGGGGTGACTTTTTTTCTCACTCTTCTGTTTAAGTGTATTGTAGTGTTATGTATTAAAAGCCTAAACTTCTGTATAATTAATGAGCATCAGACCCACGTGACCACAGAGCTAGCTCCGTGGAAAGGCCTCAGTCTGAGCCTCGGTCTGGCTTGGAAACTGTTCCGGGATTTTGAGTCTCTGTGTTTGTGTATTCTTTTTTGGATATTTTTGTGCAATTGTTGGACAAAATGACTTGCTGTGGCATTAATTGCACTAATAGAGCGTCCAAGGAGTCTCCACTTCATTTATTTCGGTAAGTAAAATTATATTTATGTATTTTAGGTCACTGCCGAGCTGAGCTTAGATTTTAACATGTACTGTTTAACCATGAAATTTAAATGTAATAGGGTAAAACCCAGTGCATTTAACATAATGCTGCACTTTAGAAAATGGGTTGAAATATAACATGTTGGTGGAGCTGGGTTCCGACTATCGGCTTGTGGAGCTCTTCTCCCCTCCCCGCAGCTCGGCGCATCTCTGTCTGATCGCGGCTCCTGTCTGCTGCGCGGGCTGCCGGCTTGTGGAGCTCTGGGATGGAAACCTTTCCACCCGGTTCTCCCCAGCGGCAGCTCTGCGCATCTCAGATCGCAGTGGCGCTTGTCTGCTGTGCGGCTGCCGGCTTGTGGAGGTCTCGGAGACCTCTGTGTTCCACCCGGTTTTACCCAGCGGTCAGCCCGGCATACCTCTGACTCAGAAGCTCTGGTGTTGTGCACAGTTAACTCCGGTTGTAGCTAGGTTGCTACCTCCATTAGCTTAGCTCCCACCTCCGCGTTAGCTTTGGGTTAGCTTCAGGTTAGCTTGTAGCTAGTTCGACCGGGTGTCGTCAGTTGATCCCAGCCTTACAGCCCCACCCTCAGCTCCACCTCTCTTCCCTTTTATGGAATTGTCTGGGCTTGACGGAACCTGTGACACGGTCAAAATGGCGGTGGTGGCCACCTCCCATTTTAGTACAAAAACTTATTATTGGAGTCTATGGAAACCCAATGTCCATATATGTATGTCGATGGTTTGAACAGCTCCAAAGCCCTTCCAACGACCCGCTGAGTGCCAAGAACTCCACACGGTACAGGACCGCCGCGTGCAACCCTGCGTTCAGATGGTTCAGATCTACAAACTGGTTTTACTGTTGTTTCTTTTAAAAATGGAGGTGCCGATTGTTTGTAGATCTATAAAAAAACGCGTGATACCATTCGCTGTTTTCACCCTTTGTGAGCAGGGCATACAGTTTTCCCAACCAATCAGTATACGCTATCTGCAACGTCTGAAAATTAGACGTCTGAAATTATTAGACGCTGATTGGATCCTTTCGAAGGCAGAAAACCTGAAGCACTTCCTTCTTGACATTTTTAGGATAGTTAACATTTTTGCTTATTCACCTTTTCTCCTTTTTTCATTTGTTAGTTGATTTTTTTCAAAGAATTTTTTGAATCAACATAGGCAGACTGTAAATTTGGACACCCCTTTTTCAACAAAAAAAACCCCGCTTTTTAAAGTGCAAGTCACCCCCAAATAAACTTTTTTTTGCTGATAAACTAAATAAATGAGTATCTAATCGTGCTGCAGACGCGTGTCGTCAATATTTTGGCACTTCAGTGCATAATAGTTAAAATTTAAATATTCCGCCTAAAACTGGCAGTGTTGCGCCGTTGTCAGGTAAAAACTATGCACTGTTTTTTCATTTAAATCTGCCACCGCTATGTATGCTATGATGTAAACTGGTACATTATGATGTCACAATGCTGTCGTGAGCCTGTGTGTGTGTGTGTATTTGTTAGCAGCTCCGCCCTCTCGGTCTGCCAGGCAACAGCATTTGTTGCATTTTTCAAACATGAAGTGGGGGTGGAGTTAGACTCTGGTAGGGGTTGACTTGCTCTTTAACCATTCAAGGGCTGTAGTGGAAGCTAGCCGTTTCCATGGCAACGTGTTCACAAACAATGGAGTTCCTACAGTGGGACTGTGATGATGTTGCAAAATGGATCGAGTTTTTGGGATATCCACAGTACAAAGTAAGCTAACATTTCTCCAACTAAACCCGGGTAATATTATGTAATTAATTTAGCTGGTTTTATTCTTTTATATCTGTAACAGGCTTGTTTCACTGACAATTTCATCACTGGAAGAAAGCTCATTCACGTAAACTGTAACACCTTGCCAAGGCTTGGAATAACAGATTTTAAAGACATGCAGGTAACTACATTTTTCTTTTGAGTCCTAATCCATTTACAGTTTATAATCAGGTCATTTTGCCTCAACAAAAGCACCAAGTTTGTGTACTGCTACTTTTATCCTTATCAGTAGATGCAGAAATATCTAGATCTTTGCTGGACATCTATGAAAATGTAACTTTGCTGTGTAATAGTCTTGAAAAACAATTAAATTGTCTCAGTGGACTTTAGATAGCGAAAGCAGTGTCAACTTACTGCTGTCACACATCCTGCTTAACACTTCATCTCAGAACAGTGTGACATCCAATTAAAGCTGCTTGTTGTGACCAAGCAATCACCTCTGATCACTGAGAGCTTACTTCTGTGATGTTTACTCTTTCATCTCATACTGATGTCACAAATAAAGTGCTCTTTCTGCTGTTTTTGTAGAAATGTAAATGTTTTTCTGTGCATGCTTAGTAATTGGTTGAAAATACAATTTTGCTGATTAAAAAGTGTTGTCATGGTGACTAAAGATCATCTCTGTCTCAGCTGGATAAATCCAAGCTTTGACCCTGCTGTGTGTCCCACAGGCCATCTCTGCTCAGATACGTGAGCTGCTGGGGATCTCAGAGACCCCACTGAACGCCAGCATCGCTGACCTTCCCCGGGACACTATGGCCCTGTTTCTGGAAAGAAAGAGCCGCACAGGCAAGCATTCAGACAGTCTCACCTACTCTCAGTTCTTGGATGAACTGAGAACCAAACATGAATCAAAACAGTGAAAGAGTTTAAGAAGAAAAAATAAATACTGAAAAACAAGTCATGTCAGTGTCATTTCAAGTCACCCACTGTCGGCTGGTGTGATGATGCTGATGAGGCGCTTGCGGTAGGTCACAAGCAGGCCCTGACATTAACACGCCCCAACAGCAACATGGTAGCATTGTTGATGTAGCTTGTAAACAAAAAAAATCATCATCTTTTCTCTGGTGGCTGTCAGCATGTATTTATCTTAAAATTGCTTCAAATGGATACGAACTGCTGAAAATGTACTGGGTGAGGAGTAGGGATGTGTATTGGTGAAATTCTGGCGATACGATACTTATCACGATACAGGGGAGACGATACGATATATCACGATATATTGCGATACATTCAGTCAGACAATTATAGCGATTTTTTTAGACTAAAATTATTGTAGGAAAATTCAATAAATGGTCCAAACTGATACTTAACATGATTAACATGAGGTATCTGAACCATAATAGAGGGATTTACATTTCAGTGGTGGAAACAAACTCCATTGCACCCTACTGCTGACTAGCGGACAGCATTTGATTTGCACCAAAAGAAAAGAAAATACACAAATGTTTGCACGTAAAATCTTCCAAAAAATCGATACACAGCTTTTGAACATCTATATAATATCGCAGGAAAAAATATCGCGATATATTGCTATATCGATATTTTCTTACATTCCTAGTGAGGAGTGACACTGAGCACATGCAAAACAGCATAAGCGGCTGTTTCAGGAGGCTCCGGTTCTGGGTAAATGCTCAAACCACTGTTGATCTCAAGTGGGTTTGCTGTGATTGGGTTGAGTTATGGATTTGCATCCTTGGGGTAATTTTTTTGAATGACAACAACAACAACTACTTCACAGGAACACCCAAGAGAATGTGAGGTAGCGATTGTAAAAAAATAACGAAATTCTTTGAAAAAATGCCATATTTAGCATTTTAATATGCTGATGTTGTCATCTTATAACAATAAAAAAACATGCAAACTTTTTTTTTTATCACATTCATTCATGAAATTACAATTTTATACCAATTTTTTAGAATAAAATTTAAAAGGGCAAAAATGATGAATTAGGACAAATTCTAGATAAATAACATCAGAATGTTTTAAACTAATTATAAATGTGGTTGTTGGTTAAAATTAGCTGTAAAATCGAAATGGCTTGTTAAAATAAAAGTCGTCGTCGTCTTCCTCCGCTTATCCGGGTCCGGGTCGCGGGGGCAGCATCCCAACTAGGGAGCTCCAGGCCGTCCTCTCCCCGGCCTTGTCCACCAGCTCCTCCGGCAGGACCCCAAGGCGTTCCCGGACCAGATTGGAGATGTAACCTCTCCAACGTGTCCTGGGTCGCCCCGGGGGCCTTCTGCCGGCAGGACATGCCCGAAACACCTCCCCGGGGAGGCGTCCAGGAGGCATCCTGACCAGATGCCCAAACCACCTCAACTGGCTCCTTTCGATCCGGAGGAGCAGCGGTTCTACTCCGAGTCCCTCCCGAATGTCCGAGCTCCTCACCCTATCTCTAAGGCTGAGCCCGGCCACCCTACGGAGGAAACTCATTTCGGCCGCTTGTATCCGCGATCTCGTTCTTTCGGTCATTACCCAAAGCTCATGACCATAGGTGAGGATTGGGACGTAGATCGACCGGTAAATCGAGAGCCTGGCTTTCTGGCTCAGCTCCCTCTTCCCCACGACAGATCGGCTCAGCGTCCGCATCACTGCAGACGCCGAACCAATCCGCCTGTCGATCTCCCGATCCCTCCTACCCTCACTCGTGAACAAGACCCCGAGATACTTAAACTCCTTCACTTGAGGTAGGACCACTCCCCCGACCCGGAGTTGGCAAGCCACCCTTTCCCGGTCGAGAACCATGGTCTCAGATTTGGAGGTGCTGATCCTCATCCCAGCCGCTTCACACTCGGCCGCGAACCTACCCAGCAAGAGCTGAAGGTCGGAGCTGGATGAAGCTAGGAGGACCACATCATCCGCAAAAAGCAGAGACGAGATTCTCCTGCCACCAAACTCGACACACTCCACACCACGGCTGCGTCTAGAAATTCTGTCCATAAAAGTGATGAACAGAACCGGTGACAAAGGGCAGCCCTGGCGGAGTCCAACCCTCACTGGGAACAGGTCCGACTTACTACCGGCTATGCGGACCAAACTCACGCTCCTCTGGTAAAGGGACTGAATGGCCCTTAACAGAAAGCCACCCACCCCATACTCCTGGAGCGTCCCCCACAGGGTGCCCCTGGGGACACGGTCATAAGCCTTCTCCAAATCCACAAAACACATGTGGATTGGTTGGGCAAACTCCCATGCCCCCTCCATCACCCTTGCAAGGGTATAGAGCTGGTCCACAGTTCCACGGCCAGGACGAAAACCACATTGCTCCTCCTCTATCTGAGATTCAACTATCGATCGGACCCTCCTCTCCAGTACCTTGGAGTAGACCTTTCCAGGGAGGCTGAGGAGTGTGATCCCCCTATAGTTGGAACACACCCTCAGGTCACCCTTCTTAAAGATGGGTACCACCACCCCGGTCTGCCACTCCCAAGGAACTGCCCCCGATGACCACGCAATGTTGTAGAGACGTGTCAACCATGACAGCCCTACAACATCCATAGCCTTGAGATACCCAGGACGAACCTCATCTGCCCCCGGGGCTCCGCCGCTGTGTAGTTGTTTGACTACCTCAGCAACTTCTGCCCCCGAGATCGGACAGTCCATCCCCAGGCCTCCCAGCTCTGGTTCCTCCTCGGAATGCGCATTGGTGGGATTGAGGAGCTCCTCAAAGTATTCCTTCCACCGTCCGACTATAGCCTCAGTTGACGTCAGCAGCTCCCCATCCCCACTGTAAACAGTGTGAGCGAGTTGCTGCCTTCCTCTCCTGAGGCGCCGGACAGTTTGCCAGAACCTCTTTGGAGCCGATCGATAGTCTTTCTCCATGGCCTCACCAAACTCCTCCCACGCCCGAGATTTTGCCTCGGCAACTGCCACTGCTGCACCCCGCTTGGCTATCCGGTACCTGTCTGCTGCCTCCGGAGACCCACAGACCAGCCACGCCCTGTAGGCCTCCTTCTTCAGCCTGACGGCTCCCCGAACCTCTGGTGTCCACCAGCGGGTACGGGGGTTGCCACCACGACTGGCACCGGCCACCTTACGACCACAGCTAGCAACAGCCGCCTCGACAATCGCAGAGTGGAACAAGGCCCACTCGGACTCAATGTCCCCCACTGCTCTCGGGACGTGGTCAAAGCTCTGCCGGAGGTGGGAGTTGAAGACCGTCTTGACAGGTTCTTCTGCCAGGCGTTCCCAGCAGACCCTCACTATGCGTTTGGGTCTGCCAGGTCTACGCGGCATGTTCCCTTGCCATCTGATCCAACTCACCACCAGGTGGTGATCAGTTCACAGCTCCGCCCCTCTCTTCACTCGGGTGTTCAAAACATATGGCCGCAGGTCAGATGATACGACTACAAAATCTATCATCGACCTGTGACCTAGGCTGCCCTGGTACCAAGTGTACCGGTGGGCCTCCTTATGTTCGAACATGGTGTTCGTTATGGCCAAACTGCGGCTTGCACAGAAGTCCAATAACAAAACACCGCTCGAGTTCAGATTAGGTGGGCCGTTCCTCCCAATCACACCCCTCCAGGTCAAGCTGTCATTGCACACGTGAGCATTGAAGTCCCCCAGCAGGACAATGGAGTCCCCTGATGGAGCACTATCTAGCACTCGTCCCAGGGACTCCAAAAAGGGTGGGTACTCTGAACTGATATTTGGCCCATAAGCACAAACAACAGTCAGGACCCGTTCCCCGACCCGAAGGCGCAAGGAAGCTACCCTCTTGTCCCCCGGGGTAAACCCCAACACACAGGCAGAGAGTCTCGGGGCTAACAAAAAGCCAACCCCAGCCCTCCGCCTCTCACCCGGAGCAACTCCAGCAAAGTAGAGTGTCCAACCCCTCTCCAGGTCTTGGGTTCCAGAGCCAATGCAATGTGTCGAGGTGAGTCCGACTATATCTAGCCGGTACCACTCAACCTCTGCCACAAGCTCCGGCTCCTTCCCCGCCAGCGAGGTGACGTTCCATGTCCCAAAAACTAGTTTTCTTGTCCGGGGATTGGACCGCCAAGGCTCCCGCCTTGGTCTGCCACCCGATTCGCATTGCACCGGACACTTCATGTTCCTCCTGCGGGTGGTGGGTCCACAGTTGGACGAGCCCATGTATCCGGTTCGGGCTGGGCCCGGCCGGGCCCCATGGGCGAAAGCCCGGCCACCAGGCGCTCGCTCACGGGCCCCAACCCCAGGCCTGGCTCCAGGGTGGGACCCCGGTAACCCTCCGGGCCGGGTACTCCGACTCTTCGTTTTAACCTCCATGAAAGATCCTTCGAACCGTTCTTTGTCTCACCCTTCACCTAAGACCAATTTGTCATGGGAGACCCTACCAGGGGCACTAAGTGCCCCAGACAACATAGCTCCTAGGATCATTAGGGCACTCAAACTCCTCCACCACGATAAGGTGACGGTTCAAAATAAAAGTGGGATGAAGAAATCCTCCAAAATCTCAGAGTTTCTTGATGGAGATTGTGTGGATTTGTTTAATCATCAACTCTGACTGGAAATAACTGCTGTGCCAATTTACATTAAATAACCCGCCAAAATAAAAGTGGGGTGCACAGATCCCCCAACATCTTATGGTCTCTTGAATTTTGTAAATAAATATTTAGGAATAAAATATAATCAAAGATATTGAAATATTTTAGATTTTTTTTGTTAACAAGTAAATTTAGACTACCTTAAAACTAAAGTAGCCTTCCAAAATAAAAGTGAGTGATGAGATCCCCTAACGCCTGTCTGTGACTCCATAATACAAGAAGATCTAATCTGACTGTGAAAAGTGTAGGATAAAAACTGATATTAACATTATTGAATTGATATTAATGTCTTGACTGTTAAGCATCTGGTGTTTTAAACGTAGCTTCATCCCTTTATTCTACTGCCAGATAACAGGCCCCCGCAGGTCTTACAGGGAGGGGGCTTTAGGAGGATGACCTAGCCTTGAAACCACCTTTATCAGTAAAACTCCCTTGAGAAAGTCCAGGAACTGCTTTGTTGATTTAGTGCACCTGGAGAAAGCGTAGTCTCCCTTTTTTTACAGCTTTCCACCTGAGAGTCTAAGAAATGTCAAAATGTGTGTGCTTTCATCGTGTGTGTGTGTGTGTGTGTGTGCTTAATAAATGCTTTTCGGAGGACGTCTGTCCGATGAGAGCGAACTGGCAGCCTTTGACTGGTGTGTAAACTTTTCCTCTCCACTTTGCACAGTCTAAATTGATTGTTGATTATTGGTATTGGTGTTGATCGATTGATTACTATAACCCCCTGTGCTTTGAACTTTCCCTAAGGTAATCCAGGATTGATAAAATCACCCAATAAAAGGTTAAATCTATATGATCATATGTCTAAATTGAATCTTACAATCCCATGGACGTATTTTTCACTTTAGAAGTGGGGGGGACACGGGGGGGGGGGGGGGGGATCTTTACAGTATGTTCTAATGGGAAACAGGCTTCAACACAAACGGTTGTTTTCCGCTTGGTCCTAGAGCTCAACCAGTGTCAATTTAATCTAGTGTAATATTGTTTTTGGATGGTAAAAAGTGCAGGGGTCAAAACTTGACTTTGGAAAAAGTGGGGGGGACATGTCCCCCCGTCCCCCCCAAAATTACGTCCATGGGTCTCTGTGGCGACCAAAATTGTTCTGCATATTTAGGGGGAGGAGCCTGAAGAAAAGGGGTTGGATGCCCCCCCCCCCCCCCCCCCCCCCAAAAAAAAATTACGTCCATGTACATTCCGGATACAAATGTGACACTTTTGAATATAAGATTCAACTAACTAGAAAAATAAAAGTTGCCTATTAGAGTAAAGAGCTCCTCTACATTGGACTTGCCAATGTATAAAATGTGGGTAATATTTGACAATCATTATTGCTGATGACACCTCCAAACAACTACAAAACGCTCTTGTGCACATTCTTTGCCAAATTGCACAAAAAAAAATGGTTGTAAGGATTTGGTCCCAAGTTCATCCAGAGGGAGTTGGGCCTTTCCGTTTCAGCCAGCTCAACACTTTCTTACCCAAAAATCTATCTAATACACGAGGGAAGGTTCGGCCATGCCGCTATTTTTGGCTTCTCCTGGACCAGATGCAGGCTGATGCTGCATCCGAACGAGCGGATGGATTTTCAATATTGCTGGGCTCGTTTTTCATCTCATGTGTGTGTGTGAATCTGATCAACATCCCGGGTTTTAGTTCAAGAATATTATAGATCCACTGCATGTTCGTGCAATAGAGTTCAGTGGCCATGAATAAATTATGATGCCTGCCTGTGAGACAGGCTGGGAGGCTGTGCATATCTGCCTGTGCACACAAATGGTCTCTGTGCAGCTCAGAGCCGAGCGCACCCATTACCATTCCGAGCGCAGCGCTTCTGGTCAGACATGGATCCAGGGCGGCGTAGTCCGGGCGCGCAGCAGCGAGGACATGGCAGCAGGCGCTCAGTCGCTCAGGATTAACGACGCACGCTGAGCTCCGCGTCAACGACACAAAAAAGCAAGCCCGTGAAAGCGATACGAACATCTGGTCGGATTCAGCGCAGCAGCCTGCCGCTACAAAGGCGTTTTCTCCTCCTCTCTGGAGGTGCACACAGGCGGATGCGCAAACAGAGGCGATTCCGCACAGCTGCAGCCTTCGAGCCTCACCGGGGACCCTCCTGGCGCCTTCCCCCCTCCTGTTAGGACGCAGGAATCTGAGTAACATTTACTGTGGCATGAGGGGTTCGCGTGGAGGAGTCGTCCTTTATCTGATGGTTATGGATTTCTTGAAGGGCACCGCCGGTGTTGCAGGCCGTTAGGTTTCCAAGGCGCATGTTTTTACGGGACACCTGAATTATTTCCAAGAGTCGGTCCCATTTTCAGGCAGGTCCGCTCTGGGTACGCTGCCAGACCCCCTGGGAGGAAATGAGCTGAAAGACACCCACCCTTGATTCAGCTTGATGTTTCATCTGCAAGGTAACTTTCATATTTTGCAAGCCTTTGAAGGGGTGGGCTGTTTGTTCATGAGACAAACTGTGTTGAAGTTGTTCTCCCTGGGCCATTATTTTTGAATGGGCTCCAATAATCTCACCCCACCCCCTCTTGTGACAGGGATTGTCAGCTCATGACTCGCAAGGTCAAAAAAATCCCTCTTATTCTTGTAGGCACGCAGTCAGATAGAGGTTTTATTTTTAGGATCCACCTGACTGCATCCTGTGCAGCTTTTTCTCTCCCACGGGTGAAGCTGAGAATGATGATGGCCGATGCACATTAGGCTACATTCAGCCTTTTCTCCTGGCGTGGAAAGATGTGTGTTTTTGCAGCCTTGAGGATGCAGAGGTGTGATTATTGCTGATGTGCAAACTACACACGGCTCGTTTTTCAAATCTAAACAAGCCAAATGCAGAGAGGACTTGGAAAGTGTAAGAATAGGGTGCATGTTGCCAGGTGACAGGAAAGGACAGTGAGAAAATGTGCCTATCACTGACAGATAAGGGTCTTCTGTGGAGTGTTAGTTATCAGTCTCTTATTATTCATGAGCGCCCGAGGCAGCGTTGTAACTGCTACCCTAGTGAAACCAAGCCCACGCCTCATTTTGCTGCTTCTGTTTGCTCTGTGTGAATGTGCTGCTGAACCTTTTCACCGAAGACTGTGTGTGCACCCCAGACCCAAATGTACAGCTACTGTTTTTATTCGCTGAGAAAGAATTTTCATTGAGACCAGCTCGCTTACATGTTTGCACCTGCTATGAGTGTGTGTGCATGTAAGAAACGCTTTATTAGAGCTTGATAAGGAGGTGCATGTGTGTGTAAATAATTTAGCAGATTTTTCGCTGTGTTTCAAGGACCTCTGACACAGAGAAAATGAGACTGTAAATGCTGATTTACTGTGCATCACCAAGAGTCATCTTTATAACATGTTGTGCAACATTTTTGTTAAAAACTTTAGCATTAAATGTTTGAGTCAGTCGTTTAATTTTGTTAAAGCTTGTTTGAGCTAATCAACACTAGCAAACTCAACTTGGCTACAACCATGGACGTAATTTTCACTTTAGAAGTGGGGGGGGGGGCACGAGGGGGTGGGGGGGGGGTATCTTTACAGTATGCTCTAATGGGAAACAGGCTTCAACACAAACGGTTGTTTTCCACTTGGTCCTAGAGCTCAACCAGTGTCAATTTAATATAGCGTAATATTGTTTATGGATGGTAAAAAGTACAGGGGTCAAAACTTGACTTTGGAAAAAGTGGGGGGGACATGTCCCCCCTGTCCCCCCCAAAAATTACGTCCATGGCTACAACATTGTTGGTTTTACAGATTATAAACTAGAATTTGGTGCCGCAGTAGACAAGAGCCTTCCCCAACAATTGCTCTGATAGGAACAAATTGCACAGATTTACTTGCATAAGTCTTTGGCACTAGCCGTTGGAGTCAAACCAAATCCAGCTAGCTGCAGTTAACTGATCTTAGGAAACACAGCAGTTACTGTAACTTTAAAGTTAGCAGATTTTAAGCTTGTTGTGTTTACCACTAGGGGGCAGGAGAGGAGAGGAGAATGTAGGTAGGAGAGAAGAAGTGCTTTGAGAGAGTTAAGATGGATGCCTGATTCTGCTACATGTGACGCAAGTTTGATCAAGGCTTGGAAAACTCGTGCCACTTTCTGACACAATGGCCGGCCATAACAAAGGTGAACTTGGGTTTCGTGGTATTTAGAGTCACGCATAAGATAGGCTTCAAGCTTTACATGTTGAGTGACATTTTCATGTAAAAGATTAGCAATAAAGATGTCGAAAACTTGTTTAATCAATGCATTTGCAGTGGTCTCTAGTAGGAATGAATGCCTTGTAAGTTGTACTTGGGGTGTGGGGTGGGCTGGGGACGGGTTAACACTGTTGCACCATTTCCAGGTACTAGAAGTGAGCCACATCACAGTTGAGCTCCAGGCGGCAGGATTCTTATTTCGTGATATTTGGACATCTCACCTCGGATTAGATAACAGCAATACGACTCTGCCACTGACTTGCAACATGGATGTTTTATCTCCACAAATAACGCATGCCTGAAGGAGTTCTGCTGTGTGGTGGAGTTGCTAATGCTAACAGTTAGCTTCTACTAGTTGAAACGATCTCTGCTGTTTCCTAGACACTAAACCCAAAACAGCCTTCCCCTTTGCGAGTCAAATCCTAGTTTCACCATCAATTTTCTATCAGAAACTAATACAGGAGATACGTGTAGGAGACTATTTTCATGTTCAGACTGCATGAAAAACTCAGAGTGACCGATTATAATCAGAAATATAATCAAAAAATTTCAATGTTCCACACCTTTGATGGTTAGTCAGACCTATTTGTTAGCCAAATATCTCATGACTGTTTAACTTAAAGGAGACATAACATGAAAAACCCACTTTTTTATCCATTAACACAGTGTTTTTCACATTTTAAGTGTCTAAGTGAGCAAAAAGGCTTATATTATTCACTGGAGTTGCTATTTAGATATTTAATAATTAAGTTTTGGGCATATTTGTCCACCCGTTTAGTTTTTCAAACGATTTATTACATCAGTAATTTATTTTGTCAGGATAACTACCAAATATGGTAATGGCCCTCGGCTAAACACAGAGCCAATCCGCCATTTTTTCTTCTCGCTAAGATTTTTTGTAGTCCTATTGGAAAAATGCAGAATGTCAGGTTATTTTAGCCACACACAGCTCAAAACTGTTCCTCGTTTTAAGGAAGGGTGGTGTGGCAGTATTTAGAATCAACCCAATTCTAGATGTCGGTCACAGCTAATCAACCTCAGCTAACCCAATAATGGCTAGCATTTAGTCAATGACAGATATTAAACTACACTTTTCTTGTGCTCTGTGAGGTCCTTTGTCCTTCACATTTTACATGTTTCAGGTGTTTGTTCCAGTTTCAACATACTAGAGAATCATTAACAATTAGCTCATTTGAATCCATTATGCCAAAGCTGGGAGGCATCTAAAATGTGCAGGACCTACTCAGAGTATCAACGGATCAAGCAAGACGTTGCAATATTGCAGCCTGCATAATGCTATTTTCAAGATTTCAACAAAACTGCTATAACTCCATCATTCCTCAACAAAAAATGATTTTAGTTTGAAACTCTGACAGGAAGTGATTTGCATCTGTTTTGTAAAATCTTTCAAGTCACCTCGATCATTTTTAATCATCCTGATCAACCTTTCAGAAACATCAAATGTCCAATTTTGCTTTTATGTTTGGCAGCATTTGCTCGCCTGCCCTCTTCCATGGTGTAATGGTAGTGGCTGTTTATCTAGAGGCTTCAAGTATTAATCTGAGTCCATCCTAATGGGTATCTACTGACATTTACTTAATCTGGAGGTTTAAGGCAAACACAAAAAGAGAGCCTGATAACTGGGAGGAAATTTGTTAGATTGGTCCTACATGGGTAATGGCATGCTTGAATTAAAAAATGGATGACGTAAATGAGGCCCATTTGGGCTTGGGACAGCAGTAGCTCAGGAGGTAGAGGTAATCTCCCACCAGAGAATGCTGCTGTTGTGTCCTTGGGCAAGACACTTAGCCCACCTTGCCTGCTGGTGGTGGCCGGAGAGACCGGTGACGCCTGTGTTCGGAAGGACTCCCCTCTGTCAGTGCACCCCGAGGCAGCTGTGGCTACATCGTAGCTCATGCCCACCAGCGTGTAAATGACTGATTGTGTTGTAAAGAACCTTGGGGGGTTGTAGAACCCTAACCCCTTCTTGCTCGTAAGCTGCTGCTTGTCCCTTCCCACGAGACGCGAAGCAGCAGGGGAGCAGCTGTCACGGACAGAGCACAAAGTCACACGAGTGACTTCGCCAGTAAACACAACAACAAGCAGAATAAAACTACAACATGGTTTGTGTTTTATGTTCTGGCCGTTTTATGATCGCCAATACGGACCTGAAAAACAAAGGAGACCGCTAGCTAGGTGATAACTTCTCACGGGGCCGCACAGTTAGTAACGTTTTTTAAAAGTAAAGCAACCGGAAGGCAGTACGTCCTTTATTCTGAAAATCTCGGGAAGCTTCGCTCCGTTTCCGCGTCCGATTTCCTGTCTTTCCTTCCCCAAAAATGTCGAACTTGACCCGTTTCAGAGGCGTCGCGCGTAGAAAATAGAACCGGCGCGTAAGGGCCGCGACATGCTGCTCCTGAGACGCGGCCGACTCGCACTGCTGACGGCTCCGGTGGAAAGAAGGGGCAAGAAGGCGCTATACGAATCCAGACCATTTACCATCTCACACATGTAACTCTGCATTTAACACTGACCCATGACTTCAAAAGAGCCTAAACCACTAATGTGAAACTAACCGTCATAAAAACCATCAACAAGTAAAAGTAAGAACCACGTTTTGTTATTCGCATGGCGATTGCCAGTAAAGGTTTATGATGTGGGGAATGTTCAGAGGGGATGCTGAAGGAAGACAACCCCAGTTCACATCAGGACACAGTGCCGTGGTGCAAGATCCAAACAAATTGACAATAAGATGTGAATGTAAAGGTCTCTCTAGTTGGGATTAAACAGAACCTAATAAAATGTTCTGACCCGGCGTCCACAGCCAAGCAAGAATACCTCGTGTTGCCATGTGGAGTGAATCACTTGGAGTTACAAGGAGGATATGTGGATTCTAACGGACAGCACTTCCATTGATGCGGTGAGGCTCTGCTTAGTATGCTGCTATACCCCCAACACACACACACACACACACACCACACACACACACACTCACATTTACACACGCACTTTTCTGACTGGAAAATCCTTTCAACTGCATCAGATTTCCCATCAAGTCCTTTAGATGTTTAGTATGTGGCAGACTGAGACTAGAGATTCGGACTTTACGAATCTGATACAGAATTAGCTGAGCGTGCAGCCTCCTCACCACCGCTGGGTCATAAACGCTGCCCCTGGATTTCAACTCCAACCTTTGTTCCAGATCTTATTATTGTCGG